ATTAAGGTCTAGCAAATCAAATTCTTGAAGGGTAAGCTACTAGCAGTTTCAAGGAAACTCGAATTTTTTTAAGGCTAAATAATATATTATAATTTTTGGTTAATGATTTATTTTTTAAATGTTAACATTCAAAACTATAATCTGTCCCTTTTTTAAAAATCATTTGAGCAATGATTTTGTATTGTGAACCAAGTTCGAACCTTGAATTCAAAGGTATAGAAAAACACTCTCACTTATTACGTTAACTAACTTATATTTTAAAATGGAAGGGATATATAAACTTTTATTTATCTTTAAATAACTTTGAGTGCATTTCTTTTATGAATAAGTTTAAGAAGTTTTTTTATCTCATTTTAAAATTAAAATATATCACAAATTTTGACAAAGATTTTATTCGTAACATTTGTATAGATATGGTTTAATCCTATTAATTGAATCAACTTTCGTTATCGAGGTTGCTTTGGCTATAGTTGAGGGTTGCACTAAGATGATATGTACTGCATAATCTTTTATAAAATCATACGTCTCCTATCTGACACGAGGAGCTGATACTCCAAACTCCGAAATTTTTGTTTTCAAGATATCAGGTGCCTGTATAAACTGCAAAGTTGCAGACTCCAAAGTCTAAGGAACCACATAATTAATAGTGTGAGAGTATTTGTAACCAAAAAGAATAGTACTGTGAGAGTGGTTATGATGTATTAAATCATTAAATCAGGTGGAAATAGAATCAAGAATTGAACCTGTAAAGTGAGCTCCCATGTAAACTTTAATCTGGACTGCATTCATTGGTAGACGCTATGAAATTACTAACAAAATGGGGAGAAATTGAAATGGCTATGCCGTATGCTAGAAAAGTTCTTTATGAAACTAATTGACGTGCCACGCTCGGCGTGTACTGGTTGAAGTTTAAAATATTAATGTTACGACAAATTGATTTAATAGAGATAAATTATTAAGAAATTTATGAATATTATGTTACATGATGAAGCTTACATCATGTTATACTCACAATGCAAGTGGGCCCCACCATTTTCTTATTTTTTGTTTTTTGATAAAAACTTGTGGAGCCTACTTGCATTATGAGTGTAGCATGATGTAAGCTTCATCATGTAATATAATATTTATAAATTCCAATTATTAATTAGTAAATTTGAAGGAAAAAAGTTGGTTAATAATTAGTAAATTATAAATTAAAGTTATTCGTCGTATAAAAGTTGTTTGACCTATGGAATCAATCACCAAACCCGTCATTTTCCCTTTCTTTTTTTTTCTCTCTCTTTTGCACTTTCAAAAAAAATCTGCTCTTTCACGGTAAATTGCATTGGTCCAATGGATGGAGCAAATTTCAAGCCACAAGTTTTAATTTAAGCTTTTGTTAAAAAAAAATTAAGTGAAGCCATTAATGCATTTTCATAGTTTTGAATTTTTTTTAAGTTATGAAAAGATTAAGAAGAAGAAAATAATGTTTCATCCTGAGATCAATAATGAGTAATGAAAATCGAACTAAAGAATTAATTCAACACAAAAGTTAAATCAAATCTATTATATTTTATCGAAGTTTGATCGTATGGGTTAATTGAGCAACTATGATTGAAGAATGTTAAGATTTTCCGTCAACGATTGCTCTATTTTTTTTGTTCAGAGAACCATGATTGCATTTTGTTGTATAGAGCAGTGTTAAGAAAGCCGGCCCGGCCCGGCCGGTGGAACCGGTTGGCCCGGTCGTGAACCGCGGTTCAACCGGTATTAACCGTCGAACCGGTGGACCGGTTTTATTACTCAAACCAGTTTTGGAAAAAACAATTCTCGAACTTGAGTCTCCGAGTAAGCCAAACAACAACTTACCACTAGGCTGAGTATGTTTGTTGGTTAATATGCACTATTTAATATAGGGATAGGATCCACTTACAAACTTTTTTTTGCAAATTACACTAAGTACGACCGGTCGTACACCGCATGATTAAAGTATGACCGGTCGTACTTTGTAAGAGTTTGTAAACAAAAAAGTTTATAAATATAACATGCCCCTTTAATATATATATATATCATATCATTTAATAGAATTATTTAAAAATTGCATCTTATAGAGCAGTGTTAAGAAAGCCGGCCCGGCCCGGCCCGGCCGGTGGGACCGGTTGGCCCGGTCGTGAACCGCGGTTCAACCGGTATTAACCGGTGGACCGGTTTTATTACTCAAACCAGTTTTGGAAAAAAACAATTCTCGAACTTGAGTCTCCCGAGTAAGCCAAACAACAACTTACCACTGAACTGAGTATGGTTGTTGGTTAATATGCACTATTTAATATAGGGATAGGATCTGTTTACAAACATTTTTTTGCAAATTACGCTAAGTACGACCGGTCGTACACTGCATGATTAAAGTATGACCGGTCGTACTTTGTAAGAGTTTGTAAACAAAAAAGTTTGTAAATATAACATGCCCCTTTAATATATATATATATATATCATATCATTTAATAGAATTATTTAAAAATTGCATCTTGTGGGAATCGAACCCTTGTTGTGAAGATATAAATTATAGTATTTACCACTAAGTTACATCTGGTTCTTGCTTCATCTGCACCATTTAAAATATTTATTATATAATTAAGTATAAAATATAAATTTATATACATATTCTGTTCATGCGGTTGAACCAGTGACCGACTGACCCGGTACCCCGACCGGGTCGATCACCGGTCCGGGTTTAATAAAATTGGTATAGAGCGCTCAGCAGTGCAACAAATTAAATGATGCTGGGGCAACATAGTAACTTTCATAAATAAGATCTCATCAATCCAATAACAATTAACAATTGGGCTGGATTATACGCGGTTGAGTTTGAAGAATTTGACAGTTTGGTGAGATGATTGGGAGAATATACCTAGATAATTGGGTTTTGGACCTAACAAATGTGAATTTTTAAAAAAAAATCACTTGTTTAGTTCGTTGACCAAACGTTTTACCGGACTAATGCAGGAAGACGCGTTTCAGGTGGCTACGCTTTTAGTCGCACACTTGACACATGCACGTTTCTGACATATCTGAACACGTCTGTACCAGGTGCACGTTTCTGGTAAGTCTAACCAGCACAATACCAAGACGCGTCACGTTCAGGAACGTGTTTCGTGGCATAGTCGTATCACAGTCAGAAACACGCGCGTGTCAGGTGCGCGACTAAACGCGTAGCCACCTGAAACGCGTCTTTCTGCATTATTCCGGTAAAACGTTTGGTCAACGAACTAAACATGTGGATTTTTTTTGAATTTCACATTTCTTTGGTCAAAAACCTTAGATAATTCTAAACTGAAAAAAGGGAGATTCCGGGGAATAGAGTTTCACTTTGATTCAGTAGTCAAGCAGAGATGATCTTGCTAAGGCTAATTGTTGTGACCTTTATAGTAGAAAGGTATGTCGATTACCAAAAGAAGAAGAAGAAGAAGAAAGATGCCTGATCCGTTTTTGCCACCTTTGTATGGAGGTATCCATCCTCATTGGTGGAGAAAGGTAGCTTGGTGACAGGCTATGTCGCAGGTAATGATGTTTTTAGGTTACGTCTTCAAGTATGATTTCGGCAAGTAGGTGCTGGCCTGTAATTATTGGATCTCGAGGAGGCTTACTTGTTCTGAGCAGATGATCTCGCTGTTTTTCAAGTTATTTGCTTACAGTTTTTTATGAGATGTCTAGTTGTACACGGGATGAACGCGTTTTCTTCTCAGTTAAACAATGGTTTGGACCTTTACTTGGGTTGAGTTCCAATCTCGTATTTGGAAGGGTCAAGATCAATGTTTCAAAATAAAATAAAATTAAGAAACATATTGTTCATCACAGAAAAATTTCTTAAATACTTCAGAGTAATATTTTAAGGGATATGCTATTTTACCTACCTTTTTATCATGCCTATCTTATCACTCTCCAACACTATTAGAACATAATTTCAGGTGAAGAGAGAAATGATGAAAGTTAGTTGAAATTCTGATCTAATAGTATTTGAGTATAATAGGTAAGGTAAGCATAAAAAAATAGATAAAATAACCTATCCTACATTTAATTGGTTAAGATTTGATTAAAATTTTTATATAATATTTTAAATTCAATTAAACTGCATTTATATGATTATACCATCTACACTTTTTTGGTACAAATGTAACATTCTCAAAATACATGGGACTTTTTCCTATCATAATAACAATTATTATGTGCAAGGAAGGTTAGATGAGTTAGATTGAAAACTATCTCTGGCTTTTTTTATGGGTTCATGTTCATCCATTACCCGATTTGAATAAAATAGAATTATAAGGGCAATAAAACCCTTCTTACTAAATTTTCAACATAATTATATAATGAGAACTCAGACTGGCTAGTTAAAAATATATTGTTACAGATATCATTAGTTGGAAAGAGTTCATGTATTAGGGATTTTAAAACAAACTAATTTCTCTGATTATCATGAACTGAAATTTTGAGTATGTACTAACCTAGTTATAATTAGTATCATGTATTTGTAGTTGTAACGTGTCAGAGACTTATACGGCTGACGGCGCCATGGAAATTCTCAAAATTATTAAAGTAATACACAATCCATATACCTCTCCTTTAATACTTTACTATAGAAAGTACATTACAACAGTCACAACTCACTAGTCATAGCAGGGATCTAATTATTTAAATTAACCAACATTGTAATTTGCCCCACAAGCGGCTTCTCCTTCACCCAAAAACTACTTTTCTTCTTATTAAGTTCTTTCGACTTGCGAGACACAGAAAATGCAAACGCAGCAGCATACACTATTCTTGCACCATCAAATACTCTGAGTATTCATCTTGAATAGCTGTTATACCTAGTCTCGCTTTGAATCTACCAAGTAAGAATTCTTAGTCACACACTGATTTATAGCTTTACTGAAGTTTGTGCTTTTTTTTTTTTTTTTCTATTATGATTCAAAGAATTATTAATCTGATTATTTCAGAAACCCTAGGTGCATAAAGGTGAAAGAATGGGAAGAGGTAAGATTGTGATTCGAAGGATCGACAATTCCACAAGCAGGCAAGTGACTTTCTCAAAGAGGAGAAAGGGATTGATCAAGAAAGCAAAAGAGCTAGCAATCCTCTGCGATGCAGAAGTTGGACTTATGATATACTCCAGCACTGGGAAGCTTTACGAATATGCAAGCACCAGGTTGGTCATGATTTTTTTTGCAATGGATATTTATGTGTTTCCGTACTCTATATATGTTCCTGTGAACAGATATCATGACCGTACAAGTCTGTTATCCGTACCTTAATTTAATTCGTCCCTATTTGTCTGAAATTTAATCTGTGTTTGTTTTAATTTAGTTTATGTTAACATATCTCTTACTTGAAGACTACATTAATGAAACAAATATGCATGGATATAAGTTCAAATAGACCACGTTCTAGGAATATGCTTTGACAGTCCTATATATAATATGATAGTTATATATCATCACTTTTCTCAAATTCCTAATAATAGTTAAGCTGAACCAGGATCAATGCTGCCAGTTCTATTCTGGGAGAGTATCAAACAGAATAAAGATCCTTTGATCTTACACATGCACTATATGTTGAAGTCTAATGAAAAAAAATAACTGGGGTTTGATTCTGATAATATTGATTTCCAGGACTAACTATCTAAAAGCTTAAAGGGTTAAGTGAAACCTTATGTTTGAGCCTAACCTTCCTGTGTGCTCATCCAAAGAGGGGACTCCAAAGAAGAGATCTATATTGACTTGTATTCTATGATTTCTTTCAGTCGACCTTCATAGTCTTGAGTCTTAACTCACCAATCCAACAAAACGTAGGATGAACTGAAGAATATTGAGAGAACTGTATCTGAAAACTTCTTGGCCATGCAAATATGGTTCATTTAGCAAATGATAGTTCAAGGAAATATTATTAGGTGCAAAACTAGAAATTTAAGGTAGAACTTTTATGCTCATATAAAGTAGGACATCTCGTCGTATTATCCACCAAACACATTGGCCAGTTAAGCTGAAATCCACATAGATATATAGTTTGGTTTTGAATAATTTTAGATATCTTAATTTTACCAATTTTAGAAGGTTGAATAAAAGTGTGCATGATTCCAATTGCATAACTTTAGCCATTGTCAATCTGAATGATTTTAGTTGATACCATGCCTTTTTAGTCGATGTCAAGTTAGGTAGCTGTACCATCCCAAAAGCAATATTCAAGTCACATTTAGGATCGTTATCATTGGCAAGTGCATGCATCAGATAAAGTGTTGGCACCACTAGTTTTTGATATGGACAACCTTATAATATAATTAAACCTAGCTAACTAAGCAACTTTGATTTGGTAGGTTTCATTGTCATTACTATTCTTGCTTTGTGTATATCCTTGTCAAGTTGTCAGGGTGGGACTTGGGATGAGTTCCTTTTCTTTCTTGTATTCTTGCTGCCTAGTCTTGGACCACGGTAATCAATAAACCTTTGTCTGCTTGGAATTTCAAGCGCTTACATGCTAGTAGATGCACTGAACCCTTGTAACTCCCCGTAGAATAAAAGTTCTTCTGCATAAGCTTGTAAAAAATGTATTTATTATGATATAGTTTTTTTATGATTTTTTTAAAGTCACTTTTTTTATGATAAAAACACTAAAATTATTTGTTTATCGTTACAGTCTTTCTTATATAAAAAAACATATCTAATTATCTTTAAAATACATTTTTCTAAAAAAAAAAATATAAACAAATGAACCCTAAATTTGTAATACAAGGAAATTGTACTTATTTAACATTTTTTTGTGATACTTATTTAATATATTACAAAAAACACAAAGCGAGCTTCTTAATGTGTTAAATCATACATGTCAAGTTAAACATCATACCTGCTAAATCATTCTATGTTTGCTTATTTGGAGGAAGGATTCAAATTTGTTGTTTCCTTCTGTGTTCTACTGAATAATGATAATTAAAAAAAAAAACAAAAACAAAAAAACAAAAAAAAAACTCCTTTAACTGACAATATTTCTCTGGTAACTGTGAGTTTCATTTGCTAAGTTGTCACTATTTAATTGGAAGAATAGGAAAGAAGACAGGAAAATAATGAGACAACAAATTTGACTCCCCTACAGGAGCAATATTAAGTAGCAAGAGCATCAATCATCTCCTTCTCATAAAACACTAAGGGTGTACATGACAACCTTATCGGAATTAGTTTTTTTTTTTTTTTTTTTTTTCATTTATGTTCCCAGGAACAGAAATTGATATAAAACTTGTTTGTTAAAACCAATTTACTTTTTTGTTCTCGGGATGAATCGATTTAATTTTTGTGCTGTAGAAAAAAGAATCAATTATTTTTTTGGTTTCTGGACACAAAATGAAAAACACTTGCCTCTCTCAATCACTCTCCAACATTACCATCATCACCACCACCATCTCCATTATTCCGACACAACCACCACCACCATCATTGCCGCTGTCGCCGTACCACCAATGTTGTCGTCACCATCACCACCACCATCATCATCATCTCGACACGGCCACTGCCATCATCGTTGCCACTGTCGCTGTACCACCAGTGTTGTCGTCACCACCACGACTATGTCAGCGCCGCCATCAATACCATCACCATCATCTTCACCGCAAACATTATCGTTACTACCACCACCATCGTCACCAACCACCACTACCATCGCTGCAGCCACTGCTGTCACCATCACCCCCACTATCATCACCACACCACCACCGTCACCGCAGCTACAGACGTCACAACCGCCATGCCACCATTGCTGCCACTATCACCATCACCACCATCGTCGTAGCCACTGCCGTCATCACCACTGCCGCCGCCACCACCACCATCATCGCAGCCACTGCAGTCACCACCACCATCATGCCATCATCTCCACCACCACCACACCATATGAAAAGATAAGGAAAGTGATGATCCAAAGTAATTAGGGTTCGTGGTCAATGAACCTTAATGGAAAGTAAGAAAAAAATGAAAGGAAAAGAAAAGATAAAATAAATAAAAGTAAGATTAAAAAAATAAAAGAAATAAAAATAATATAAACATAAAGATAGATAAGAGAAAATTAAATAAAAATAGATAAACAAAAGAGAAATATAAAATAGAGAGGAAAAATAATTAAATAAAGAAATAAAAGATAATATTGAGAAAATTACTAAATAGAGACGATCTAGAACATATGAAGAAAAATGGGCTCATCCATTCATAGTGCTAATATCTTTTCTCCAATCCATTCTAAGATACACCATCCGCCAATCTATCACTCCTTTGAATTTTGTTATACTACTTTCCCCTAAGTTTCGGTCAATATATCTTCCTTTATGTGTTATGCTCTTCTAACAAATTTTTGTTCTCATGGGTGCATCTAGTGGTCTTTGCATTATATGCTCAAACCATCTCAATCTATGTTTTTTCATCTTTTTAGCCATCCATACTACTCCTACCTTTCATCCAATAACTTCATTTCTTATTTTATTCATCTTTGTATAACTACACATCCAACTTAGCACCCTTGATTCACCTACTCCCATTTTGTGCTTTGTATGTGCTGGTTAACATTCAACTTCGTATAATATTGCAGATTTTTCTACTATTCTATAAAACTTTCCTTTTAGCCTCGGTGAAATTTTGCGATTGCATAAAAACCCTAATGCATCACGTCATTTTATTCAATCTGCTGTAATTCTATGTTTTGCACCCTCATCAATCTCTCAACCCTTTTGCAAAATAGATTCCAGTTATATCTAAAAATATCTTTCTTGAGTATTTTATTCACGAAATCTTAATCTCCATTTCTTGCTAGAATATTCTCGCAATTCATACACTCAGTGTTATTGGAACTTAGCATATATCCTTTAGGGAGCGTTTGGTTGAGGAGAAATTTTATGAATAATAGGAAAATGTTATATATAGGGAAATGGTTGGAAAGTGAGATAGGTAGGAAAATGTAAAAAAATGTTGTTTGGTTGGAAAAAAATTTACCGGAGAAATTAGGTAACTTTTTTAAAATCTATGTTTGGTTGTAGGTAAAATATAGATGAGAAAATTAGGTAACTTTACGAAAATAACCCTGTTTGTAAAATTTATTTACGGTGGCATGCTACTCTACCCGTACACATCAAGTCAAATCCCAATGTTCATCTCTTCTCATCCAACTACACCAACCATCTTCTCCATTTTGTCCCAAATCTCCATCTGGGTCATTTAGTTTTGGTGCCTCTTTTCAACCTTTTACTTCATTCATTAGTTTTGGTGGGTGCTTCTAAACTCTTTGTTGGGAAAGGTGACTTTTGGGTACCCAGTTAAACAATTCTTTTGTCAAACCCAGAAATGAAAGCTACCTCCTTTGCTGTTGTGTACCTTTGATTCATTTCAACCACGTGTCTTTGAGTTGTTCCTTGTAGTGTATTGAAGGGCATGGTCTTTTTGTTGTGTGTGAGTGATTCTGTTACTTGTTATACTACTTAGTTTCACATCTTCTTGAGGGAAAGTAGAATGGGATCTGTAATGAGGTTCACTCTGTTGGAGAGTTCAATTTGGATGCCAAGTGGCTCATAGATCCCAAACAACTACGAGAAGGGTACGCTCGTCTTTGGGCACCTTTTCCTTGTGAGAAAATATCCAGCTTTTCACTAATACCACCTACGAGAAGGGTAACTTTGGCCGGCAATATGTCTTCAAATTGATATGCAAATACGTTTGCTAGGAAACCCATTTAGATAGCTAAGTCAGGAGCCACCTTCAACCAAACGTAGATATCTGATTTTCCCACTACTCATTTATCTATCATTCTCAACAAATGCCTTCAATCAAACAGCCCCTTAGATTATAGACTCCTCACATGATTAAGTGATTTTTTTTTGTAAAAAATAATAATTCTAAGCTTTGCATTTTTTTATACAATGATGACAAATAAGTTCGAATATAAAACTTTGTACAAATTGACCAAATTCCTCACCACTAACCTATTCCTTGTAGCTTAAAATTGTATATTTTTAACTTTATAATTAGGTCTCTCTTTCTTCTTTTGTTCTTCGTTGTTCGTTCTTATAATCTCACCTGGTGCCCAAACAATTACTAAGTGTCTTTTTGAATGTTTATTATATAACTTTATCGTAACATTTTGATGATGATGTTGAAGCACAACTGAAGAAAGAACTAAATG